CGATGATGGGATTGAAGAAGCTATTCGCTCCTACCAGCTTGAGCAACTCAAAGATAAGAGTGTCCTTAATCCATTCTTGCACAAGCCAAAACACTTTACTAAGTCTTTACTGCATGATGTTGGAAGTACGAGCACTGAAAAAATGAAGAAAAAAAGACTGAGAAAGAAGAAGACCGTAGCAGAGAAAGAAGTCAAATCTGTTCAAACTCCTTCTTCATCCATTTTCATACCCAAGAATACACTCTCCGGGAGCTCGACGGGTAAAGGAAATGAATTGCTTTTGTTTCAAGTTGAAGGTTTTAAGGAGCAACTTAATACGTCCCCTTCGAAAATGAATACTACTGCAGAGCTCATGTGTGCTGAGGCAATACTGGACATTTCAAAAACTGTCATGCCTGAAGTCTTCCATCATAGTGTTGGCCATAGCAGTTGCACCCCCACCGAATCTTCTGTGCAATCATCCCCTCCTGGCAACTGCCCGGATGAAGAAAGTGATGGCAGCTCCATTGATAGTGAAGATGGGATAGAGCAAGAAATCAAGAATTTTCTTGAGCAGAAGGCCCAAATGCTCAAACAACCGCCCACTGCTAAGACTCAAGAGCCTCAAAGTATAAATGAGCCAGAGACAGCGAAAGAAGAACCAGTTGCAACTCAAAAGAAACCCCTAAAATTGTCTTTGACTCAGAGAAGAAAACAAAAAGAGGCAAACCTGAGCATTTCCAACCCTCTAAGGACAGATGACAATGTTGAAGAAACAGCCACTAAAGCTTCACCTGAGCGTGGAATAGAATCCAGCCCATTATTATTTTCCCAGGGTAGTCAAACACACCAAATATCTAGACTAATCAAGAAGGAGCAGAGTGGAGACAAAAGCAGCTCGCTTGACAGTGATGAAGACCTAGACACGGCTATAAAAGACCTGCTCAAGACAAAGAAGAAGACAAAGAAAAAGCGAGATCTTAAGCGGAAATCAAGGCTGAGCCTAACGGATGGAGAACCATTGCTGGGAAATACTTTAGAGACCAAAAAGTTAAAAATGGATCCTATTTCCATAAAGGTTCTGAAAAAAGTAGAAAAGAGAAAAGTTGAGGTGAAAGATAGGTCTGGATTAAGTAAAAACAGAATTTCACAACACAAACAAGGTGAATTGACAGCTGGTGTTCAAGCCACTCTGTTGCCGTACAATACACAGACTGCTGTTGAGACAAAGGAGGACAGCAGTTCAGTGGACAGTGACGATAGCATCGAGCTAGAGATCAGAAGGTTTCTGGCTGAAAAGGCGAAAGTATCAACCACGCAGAAAAGTAAAGATGAAGATGTATCAAGAAACGGTACTACGGCGGTTTGTGCCCCACTTCAAGAGAGAGACATTAAACAGGAAAATCAGCAGGCTGAAATTCCAAGTCCAGGACAATCTCCTTTCTGGAGTCAGCCTCTTCCCACACCACAGGGTTTGATGCCAGACATATCTGCTGTCGGCGCACAATCGCGTCACTCCTGCGGCCCGACTGCTTTGGAGCCAGCAGACGGGGCGGGGGCGGCTAGAACTGAGCAAATGAGGCCTACCTTTGGAAAAGGTATCTTCCACAATGTCACCCCACAGATTGCGAAGGTTAGGCCTGTGTTGAGTCCTAACATTGCTCATTCTCGCTCTGAGGCAAACAAGTGGCGCCAGAGCTTCGGACTTCCCATTACTGACTCTAGGATGCCAAGTCGAACTCCATTCCATATCACATCTTCTAAAATCAGCGAGACTTCATCAGCATCTCCCGCTTATCAAAGCGAGGGGCCCAAATCACAAACTCCAGGCACTGTTTGGTCCTCTGCAAGGACCAGCAGAGCTCCTTTGCCCTGCTCCACAGAGACAAATGTAAATGCCACGTTCAGATCTCCTGGTTTGAGTCTTTTGTCAACTGCCAGGCAGCATCCAAGAGTGTCCTTTACACAGAGGTCTCAGTTCCCTATAGAAGGAGAGACAGAGAGTATGGTGCACATATCTAAAGACAAGAGTGTGTTTGTTGAACTGGAGTCTAATAGGACCAACCATGTCCAGGTTCGAAGCAGGGAAAGGAGCGAGGGAAATGAGAAAGTGGACTTGCTACGTGAGATGAAGAGAGAAAGTGAGAGTATGGAGATAGACGATAAAGAAGAACATCTAAAGACGAGAGAGGAAGACTTTATAGACGAGGCAGATTGTGAGTCAGGCAACACCAGAAATCCAGGGCAGAAGCAGGGCTATTCCGATTCGTAAGTATTTCCTTTGGCCTCTATGTCCCATAGCATCATGAATTCTATTTAAAATGAGTTTCTCAATTGTTACCTGCTTATAAATATAGTATAGGTTATGGTCAAGCTCATTCATGTATGGGACGGAAGGGAATGTTTGTTAATATGATAAGATGAAACAGGCTTTTTTTATGTGTGTTTGTACATTTATATGGCCTTGTAACGCAGTGGCACCACCATAGCAACTTTTTTTGTTATTTCATATCAGCAAACCTTTGGAAAGCAATGCAGTTAAATGTTCAAACTGAAGGCAGACTGAATAAGTAGTACGATTTATAAAAAGGCTTTCTTGGAGAAAAAAACAGCATCATGCTAAATATCTTTCACGTTTTACTTAAAAAGAATAAATACAGATTTAGGGTTAGGACCAAATGTGGATGTATCTTTTTAAATTTACCACCGAGAAAACTCAAATAGCAATGGTAATCAGAAAAGACATGCTGTCATCACAAAATCTTACCCAATATAACTTATGGGCTTACTTTAAGTCATTTAATGTGCAAAAGTTAAAAAGTATTGTTGATGTTATTGTAATATGTTTTCCATCATTGCCTTCATCAGGAGTATCTCAATAAAAGCCATAAGAAAAAACTAAATTACAGTGTTCAATTAATTCACGTTTTGGAGTACGGTAAATCAAAAAACGGCACAGTTTGGTTTCATTACTTGATTGGTATAGCATAAAAGAGATTTGCATGCAAAACACATTTTTCTTTGTCAGAGAGTAAATTGTATTACTTTAGGTTTTGAACATCACATGGGTCTCTGAGAAGTTCTGATAGGTAAAGATGAATCAGTTGATAAATAAATGGCTAATGGAAACTAGGAGGCCACTTGCAGAATGCAGACCCAATGACCTCTCACCCATAGATTGAGAATAGCCTTTAACTTTTGCACATAAGGGAAATAGCCAAGGTACACTTTAAAAACAGATTATACCCTTGACCCCTTGACAGGCACCTTTTGTAGACAAAATCTATAATAACATTTGGAGTGGAACAATCATGTTTCCTCTCTTAACTACTGTAGAAACATTAAACCACATCTTCTCAACATTTGTTTTTCACAGTGCCCTTTTATGGTTTAAACTCAAATTAAAACATATTGCTCATATAAAAGCCACAATGACTGGATTTATGACCTCTATGACTCAAGCGTTTTTCCAGAAGCCACGTGGTTATTTCTCTCTGGTTGATTATATTGATATTTAGTGTGTTAATTTCTTTGTCATGTTGACGTTTTCTTGAATTTCCTATATGAAAAAGGTTATTTATTTTTGTTTATCAAACAAAAGAAGTTACTGAACATGCTGTGCATTGCCAGGTTTTGTAAATATTTTGTAAGATCTGTTTCTTTTTTTCTTTTACTCTTTCAGAAAACAAAATGTTGCTGTGTCTTTTAAGTGCATCTGTGTAATAAAGATTGGAATCCGAGCTACATTGGGTCCTCATTAATAATGTATAATAACTCTAATTGCATCACTGTAACGCTCATCGTGGTTCATTGAACCCCTACAATTTGAATTTACACACTATGTTAACTTGCTTGAAGATGGAGTTTGTGATTAATAGAGCATTAAGTCATTACTAGGAATTTGTCTGATGTGTATCCTGCTCTTTGCCCAGGTCTTTGTCCAGTGCTATTGACCCTGGCATCACCTTCAGACCTTGCATAGCTCTAACCACGGAGGATAGAGTCAGGATGTTCGACACGAGGTTCCTTCCACGCACATGCAAGAAGGTACAATTACATAGAAACCCCAGTGTTAGTAGGTTTCTACTTTCTACACGCTGTATCTTTTGACCTGAAACCAGATATTTAGCAACATAAAAGCTCATCCTTCAGCAATCTTTGGGTGTTTTTGTGTTATTATTTTCATTAGATGTGAGTTCAAAGTAGTCAATATCCAGAGTGAGAATTATTGCAATATGTTGCAGGGGGTTCCTTCTTACAGCCGTGCTCCTGTGTACAGAAAGGCAGTGGAATGTGTCAAGAGAAAGCTTCAGTTCATTCCTGTCAACAGGTATGTGTGTGTGGTTAGACCTATATGTTTTTTTCCACAGTGACTAATCACATTCAAATAAAAACCCATTCATTTTTGAACGATTTTCATCTTTTTCAGGAACAGTGAAGCATCCAGCCACCACAGCGTAACAAAATAAAACATACCTTTGCATTTGAGGCATGCATATCGCAATATGTGGGTTGCTGAATAATTGTTTTACACTTCATTAAGCGTTAGAAAATGTGGTGTTAGACTTGATGTTGAAGGCAGGTGGCATTGTTTTAAGTTGGATTTCAAAAGAAACATCCTAATCCTAATTAAATATTAATAAGGATTTTCCAAAATATGTAATGAGATTTGGAAGTTAATTTGTTGTTTATTTAGCCAACATGATGTCCTTTTTCTTGAGTTTTGGCAGTACATCTTCGGTTTTACATTGCTTATAAAATAATTAGTTTTAAGGTAGCCTATTGATATTACCTTATTATTATTATCCTGCACCAAATAGATGAATGAAACATACTACAGCTGTTATTGTTTGTTTTGATATGTCATCTTTATTGCCAGACGTGTTCAATTAGTTATTTCTTCAAAGTAACGTTGGTTTATGTTGTGTATATCTTTTAAAGCCAAATAACACGATGCCGTTGTTGTCAGTTGTTGTATTTCTTTTTCAATAAAGTTTAAACGTAAAGACAATTATTTTTCCGTGATGGGTGATGTAGTTTAATGCATAGAGCGTTCACGACAGACGGACTTTACGGCAGTCCCTGAACTACAAACACGCAGTCGCAGTTTGCTGACCTTCCGTGGTACTCAAGCAAGCATGGCTGCCCGGGCACTTACGAAAGGTATGGAAGCATAGTTTACTATCCGACAAAGTAATGTTATAAACTGAATAATGTGGGAGTATCACAAACATGCTGTAGCATTGTTCTGCTTGTAATGCTAACGGAAACATTAGCATCACAGCTAACGTCCGTTACGTTAGCAAGCTCCGTAGCTAGCACTACTCGCTTGTCACAAGTTAACTTATATCGGTTTCTTTGACTGATATTTGTGTTTTATCTCAAGGGCTTTGGGCGCTACGACAGTCCAGAGCTGTTACAATCGGATACCCCGCTTCTGGACATTTCTACGGCACCGAGGCAGCTGTCAAATCACCTCAACTACAAGTTGAGGATGCTTCAGGTAATCGAACAAATGCTAAACCATCAGGTCAGGTGTGTGCACGTTGGATTTGTTTTTCTGACTTTAAGCAATGTCATTTCTCCTACATACAGAAAGGATAATGACCCTGCCACTCGAGAAGCCTGACTTCTTTCGTGTGTCGGAGCTCTTCTCGGTCAAATCCCTGTTCGAGGCCAGGGTGCATCTTGGACATAAGAAGGGCTGCAGACACAGGTTGGTATTAGTAAAGCTCATCAGCTCTTTATGTGTTTTGTTGCGTTGGATCTGCAGTGACATTGGGGTGGGAATTGTTTGGTTAGGGTCATCCATGTACCATAACCGCATACCGTATAAGTGCAGAGAGATACATAATGTTAAAGCAGCTCTATTTATTCAATCATTTGAGTGTGAAAGATTGTCCTGCAACTTGTTGTTCCTTATCAAGTAATCTGCTGGCTGTCTTCAAATACATGTATGATTCGTTTTGGGCTCTTAAATGTCAGAAACAAGCAAACAACTGAAATATCACATTTTCTACACTCAGCACCGAATGTGTAGTCCTTAAATTAATTTTAAAGGTCTCTACGATTCCAGTGAAACTATAATTGGCCATGCAATTCTTTGTTCACAGGTTCCCTTCAACAATGCCAATGTTTTAAAATGCAGCTACTAATCAGTTTGTTAGTTAGTTGCTGATTGATCTTTTTCAGTTGTACAACCAATCAATAAATTAATAAATAGCTTCTGATCAACTAAAGGAAATTGACCAGTGTTGTCTGTACTTTGGATTGACCTTGTTTCTGTTTTGATTTTCGAAAATATTGATTCAAATTAAATCAATTACTAGTTTCAACCCAGTGGAGTAAATCTAGAGCATGGTAACTGTACACATTCTGGACTGCCCTGTATGTATATATGAGGAGTTATTTTCCAAAACGCTATATATCCATTTTAATAGTTTTCAGGAAAATGAAATGTTTTACCTAGACCCACACATTTTGTTAATATTAAATGTATCCTGTTAAAATGGTTTGTTGGCTCAGTCTGAACATATTGAACAATGATTATTAAATCAAACAACAATATTGTTGATTAAATCAAAGTTTTTATTTTTATTTTTTTCAAAACGTTATAAATCCATGCATTTTTTTTAATTGATGGTTTATGTCTTCTTTTTTTTTTAAACGAGAACATGCAACATATGATATCAGGGACTCATACTATAAATGAATATAAACCAAATAAGTGCAAATACATGAAATAAATAGTAAAATAAAATAAATATTTGCCTCTTTAAATGTTGGACTTAAATGCATCAATCTGGTGCATTTTGAGGGGGAAATAAAGAGACTACACCCATATGAAACATAACTGTATACATTTAAATAATCATAAAATCATAAAAACATGGCCATAACCAATAAAATACCATATCCAATATGAAAAAACATTGAAACTTGTTTATTTGTTTTTGGTTCATTTATAGTTGTGAGTGTGTCTGTGCTCCTGAATCAGCCTCTCCTGTCTCCCTCCTCTCCCCCTGCTCCTCTTTGAGGCAGAAGCAAAGACTAGTTTTAGCTCAACAAGTTTTAATAGTTTATCTTGCCTTTTTTCACCTAGTTAACGTTTTTTTTATTATTATTCATGCATATTTTACTAATCACTCCCCCCTCAAATGGAAATATGTGTTTACATAAATGGTGACCAAACCGTTTGAGACCCACTGAGAACTTAGACTAAGTTAACTATCTAAACACTCAGAGTCCTTTACCTCACCTGAGCTGTAGTTATCAGTCTCTCAGTCTGACAAGAGAGGAATCTCCTCCACCTTGTTGTTGAAAAAGCTCCTTATATACTTTAGCGCAGCTAGCTAGCACCAGATGCTAACAACAACACGTTAGCATGCTTATTAACAGCAGAATATCTTTGTCGCAAGGGAGAAACCTACAAAACGGTATTAAACTAGCAAATTCTGAAACGAAAGTTGTACTGACCAAACACTTTAATGAAGGTCGCCTTGCAAACGGGAACCTTCTCTGGGTGACTGTTGCACAAGAGATTGTACTTGACAGATACGTTCCGGTCTTTTTGTTTGTTTACGTCCTGAACTTTCGGACGCTTCCTTTTCACTTGTGTGATGTCCAGGAGATGAAGTATAGCCCGGTCCTGGTCAACCTTGTTTGGTTTTTCATACAAATGGTTGAAGTTCATCATCAGGTCGTCCGGTGACAGCTTCTCGGCCTGACAGAAACCTTTCGCAGCAGCTTTGTGTTGACATCCCACAGTCGGTATTAACGCGCCACCCGAGTGACGAACCTTCTTTTGTTGTTTTCTTTTGTGGTATTCTTTGTCCAGTCGACGTTTTCTACCCCCAGGTTTAGGTCTCCCTGGCTCATCCAGGCCATCAAAGGTGTTACAACAGTTTAAAGACATTTAAAGACTTATTTCGAAGACTGAATGAACATAAACAAACCTCGACTCAGAGCGCCGCCATGTTGGATTGCATAGAACGCTCACCGAATTCTGATTGGTAGAGAGGACATATCGCGTTTAGGCTCAAAATGGGTTCGGCGCTTATCGCGGTTTGGAAAGGAACTGCACCTTGCCGTACATTTTAAACAAGGATATATAGCGATTTGGCATGAAATGTTGATAGAGCAGTGAATAGGTTCAGTGCACAGCAAAATGGCACGACAAACTACATTTTTTTAAATTTGGCATTTATAACGTTTTGGAAAAGAACTCCTCATATGTATGTGTGTGGTGGGGGGAAACGATTATTTTGAAAACGATTAATCGGGCGATTATTTGATCGATTAGTCGACTTATCCAGTGGTTCCCAAACTTTTTGTGCCCAAGGCACACCAAAGGACAAGTAAAAATCTCAAGGCACACCTATTGTGCAAAAATAGCCCTTATAACACATGTTATCACTCATATCATGTAAAATATCTGTAAATGTGCATAATTATTTACTAATGCCAAATAAAATGTGACAAAGACAACTATATTACTCGTGAAATATTTATTAACGAAATATTTCAGAAATTAATTTGAAACTTTATCAAATTAGGCTTCATCAAAGCAGCAACACACTCATTTAAACCAGACAGGTCACACAATTAAAAATGAGGCAAAGGAAACTTAGCTGAAATTCAACACAGAGAACTGTCAATGCAAGGAAGCTGCATTGTCCATGGTCCTGAACTACGAATTATAACATTTCAGCAATCAGCATTGAAACATGTGCTATTGTAAATATTTTGCCGACTTACAAATTAGTGAGATACATGTGCCTGTCGGCGCGCATATTTTTTTAATCCTTGGTGGCACTGAGGAGAGGGCCACTCGCAAGTCCTGTTCAACAGAGAGCCGTGACCTCCTGTTGTTCTTCATGTAAACCAGAGTAGAGAACGCCAACTCCAGAGATGGGGTCGTTACTAAAAATTTTTTAATATATTACATATTACTTTTTTAAAAAAAAGTAATATATTACACTACTTTGTTACTATCTACATAAAGTAACTCGTTACTTTACTCGCCGAGCACGTACGAACTGCGCATGCGTGAGTGGCAATAACTTTCGTTACCAGCAGGCGGCGGTAGTGTGTTCATTCAAAACAGGCAACAACCGGAAGACAGAGAAGAAGAACAGACCACGTGATATAAACAAACAACAAATAGCTTGTGCGTTAGCTTCACCTTAGCATGTGTTCTTTGCAGGTGTGTGTTGAGGTTTGACGTGGTGTTTACAGCAGTAGATAACAGCTTCTGGCCTGGACACAGTTTGCACCTCACCATCACATTCCTGTCTATTCTTCGGACGAACTCAAAATAATGGGCATACCTCCACCCCTCGAAAGTTATCGCTGACTCAGCCATGTTTATGCAGCACTGCACATGGAGATGTGGATGCGCAAGTCGCGCAGATTACGTATAAACCTACAAAGTACTGATATAGTAAATTAAATAAATATTTTTGTGTAGTTGTATATTGCAATAATAACGTATGGTTGTCACAAAATCCCACGGCACACCCGGACTTGCCTCACGGCACACCGTTTGGGAACCACTGGACTAATCTAACTATTATTTTTCTGTTGTTCAATTCATAAAAAACGTAATGTAAAAAAAACGTAATGTAAAAAATGTCACGATACTGTGTCTCAGGGGATCTTAATATTTAAGAACCTATTAATGTTTTATACCAGATTAACGGAAATAATCTCAGCTAACTGACGATACAAACCATGTTTACCAAAACAAAACACAAGTCTCATAAGAAGCATCTAAATGACCCCTGAGCGAAAAATGCTAACGGACACAGAACTCAAGATAAAAGTACCCTTATTACTTATCGTAGCTGCACATACAATATATCCGATTAAAGCTGAGACTCCACAGATTATGTAGGTATATAGTATCATCACTGAGTGATCCGGACTCGCGACAGGGGAAGCAAATACAGTCATCACAACACGTACCTTTACAGAGCTTCTAGGGAGATCGTCTCACCACCGTAGCTGTCAATCTGATCAAAATACATGTTCAATGGCATTAAAATGAGAAAAAACGCGGCTGAATCGGTTAATCCATAGGTTTTTAACGTCTATGTATAAAAAAATGATTGAATTTATAATCCATAATTCCATTTTTATGTAAAAATCGGAGAGCAAATGCTAGCTGCTAATGGTAGCCACCACAGCTAGCTGCTGCTTCCGGTCTAGGATATGCAGCAGTCTCAGTGAGATATAAATATCTTTGCGTTTTGGACTAACTTTAAAATATTCCCATGCTTTTGAAGACCTAGGGCGAGATGTTTTCGTTTGGGGGCTTCGTGCGCAATCCTGTGAGGAGGAGGTGGTAGCCGTTTCAGTCTCCATTGTGTTTGAAGTGCGATTGCGAACTGCTTGTTGCTTTGGGTGACCCACGTGTGTGTGTAGCGACGCGTCGACGCGGAAATATGTCGCCGACGATATTTTGAAGTCGTCGACGCGTCGCTACAGCACTAATATACATACATACATACATACCAGGGTTTCCGCTAGGATTTTTTCTCGCCGGTCAAATGTCCGGACAGAATTTATTTTACCGGACAAATTTGAAATGTACCGGTCATGTTTCAATAATAATAATAAGAATTGTGTGGCAGAGTTTCCCTCTCTCTCCTGACAGCCCGGCAGCGCGCTAAACAGTGGGCGGGGCTTCAGGTGATTATGCAGCAGCTGATCTGATCTCTCGCGTCTGGTTATACTCATGGATGTATAATAAGAACTGGATACAGCTTGGGAGGCGGGGCCTCATTCATTCATATGAGAGCTGCTCATTGGCGCATGATGATAAAATGGCCCAACTTTTGAGAGAGTGAAACGTCACAGATTACCCTTCATGCCTGAGAAGTACCCGTATGTGCGATCATAGAGCATGCGCAACTTTAACCACGTCCCCCAAAAGGCTCGTTCACAGTAGAGTACTTCGTGACCACAGAGTGTGAACGTTGTGATCAGCTGTTTTAGCGCAGTTCTCCAGTGAATGGGGGGGAGTCTCCCTCCGCAGCCGGTTGGCGTAGTTTTGGCACAATTCCGTTGTACAGACCGACGTTAACAGCAGCCCTGTCTGTGCACACGGAGACCGACTCTGTCGTCCGGTGATCTAACCGCCTTCTGGAAAAGCTTCACAAGTACGTCGGTACGCAAATGCGCTTTGTGACACAAGTGACGGTACGCATTTCAGATTACGCACATAACCTGCGTACCAGTTATGTGCACCCCTGTAGCCTACTACAGCAAAAGTATTCTCCGTCGGGACTTCCTGCAACAACACCACGCCGTTATCAAAGATGTTCTATTGAGAAGACGATCACTACGTGACAAAAGTTTTCAAAACCGTGGCTACTGAAATCAATCTTACTAACTGCTGTCTGTGCAATTTACTCCGCGAGTTGGCAGACTTTATTTTGCTGACTTTAACATCATTTTTCATGGGGGGGCTAAGCCATTTCTTGGTATGGGTGTAGCCTACCCCAGCCATACCCTGGCGCTGCCACTGGTGGCACGTATGGGGCGGGCCATTCTGCACATGCGTTAAATGTGTTAAATATTTTAACGCAATTAATTCAAAAAATGAATTACCGCCGTTAACGCGATAATTTTGACAGCACTAATAAAAATGTATGTATTTTGAAGCCTGTTATGATCAATTGTGAGTTAAATCTTATCTAAAAAGTAAAGCTGATGATGGATTACTACTGTGGCGGAGTTAAAATAACAATAGCCTATTTCTCTTGTAATGGAGTAAAAGGCTAGTAACTGTGACTATTCATGTTAAGTACCCCACAAGTAACAAAAACGTATAATACTTGAAGGAAAGGTGTAAAATGTTTCCATAAATACCAATATCACACACTACAACATAGACACAAACACCCCTTTTTGTTAACTACCAACCATGTGTATGTATATATATATATATATATATATATATATATTAGGGCTGTCAGTCGATTAAAATATTTAATCGCGATTAATCGCATGATTGTCCATAGTTAATCGCAAATTAATCGCACATTTTTTATCTGTTCTAAATGTACCTTAGAGGAATATTTTTCTACTTTAATACTCTTATCAACATATGAGTGGACAAATATGCTAATGTTTATTATCATTTGAACGATGACAAATATTCTCATGAATATTAAGCAACAACCTCTGAACATTACAAATATTCGCCTCAATTCAACCTGGAACCTCTCTCATACAATACAAATTGTGTGTGTGTGTGTGTGTGTGTGTGTGTGTGTGTGTGTGTGTGTGTGTGTGTGTGTGTGTGTGTGTGTGTGTGTGTGTGTGTGTGTGTGTGTGTGTGTGTGTGTGTGTGTGTGTGTGTGTGTGTGTGTGTGTGTGTGTGTGTGTGTGTGTGTGTGTGTGTGTGTGTGTGTGTGTGTGTGTGTGTGTGTGTGTGTGTGTGTGTGTGTGTGTGTGTGTGTGTGTGTGTGTGTGTGTGTGTGTGTGTGTGTGTGTGTGTGCGTGTGCAACTCAAGGCAAGGCATATGCTCGAACGGGAGCTGCCTGGACGCTGCAATCATGTTGCGCACTATCCGAGCTGAGTGTGCTGACTTCTCGTACAATGTCCCACTGTCTGGCTTCCTGCATCAAGTCAAGTGCTCGGCGCAGTTCTGGCGAAATATCGCTCCTCTGTTTTCATTTAAACAGCTCCTTATATCCGTTAGCGCAGCTAGCTAGCACCAGATGCTAACAACAACAATGCACGTAAGATCTCTCTCTCGCTCGCGCCACACATACACACACCCTCCCGGTCCTCCCGATGGCCAGTCGGTGCCTGCCGGTGAGCGTGGAAGTGTGGTCTGCCGCAAGCGGGCAGCAGGAGCGGGGCTGTCAGCATCAGCTTGTAGATGGTATTTTAAACTCGATGCGCTCTGAAACTACGGGGCGGCCGAGGAAAAAAAATACACATGCGTTAAAATAATTAGTGGCGTTAATTTTCTTTTTTGCGTTAACGCGTTAATAACGCGTTAACTTGACAGCCCTAATATATATATATATATATGCCGCCAAAACTGTGTAATATACCAGGCTGCTAAATCCTCCAAACTTTCCCAATGTAAGTCAATGGGAAAAAGTTTTTCCGGGCCCAGCAACCTAACGGAAGTGTAGTACCGCCGTTTGGCCACAACGAATATTCTCATCAGAGTCCGGCACACTTACTGGGGGCTTGGTTATACTTCACTCGCGTTTATGTCCATATCGATCAGATCCAGCTCTACTGATCGGCTTTTATAGAGAGCACAGATCAAACTATTAAGAGTGAATATCGGCCGATAATGATCGGCGGCCAATCGATCGGACATTTTGACCGGCAGGTTTTGAATTTACCAGTTTTTATTACATTTTACCAGCTAAAAACTGGTAATTACCGGCTAACGGAAACCCTGATACATACATACACAGGGTTCCCGTGGGGTCTTACATTTGATAATCAGAATTTAAGGCCTTAAAAAGGTCTTAAATATGATCAAAAAAAATATGGGGGGGGGTCTGGGACACGGAGTAATCTGCGGCCGCGAGCTGTTATGTGCCATCATACATGGTGTTCTTTTTTTATATATTATAATGAAGCTTGAGCTGTGTGCTGGAGTCTTCCTGCCTGTCGGCTCTGCTCATGGATGTAAAATAAGGCTCTGCTGCTCCGCGATGATGGCCTAGCTTCAGCAGCTACATTACCTACGGGTGCGTTCATTAATATTAACTGTGTGGTCCGGAGTCACTGTGGCACAGACTGGACCGCTGGTGAACAGCTGTTAGAACGGGCCGTTCAGGTGTTCAGAGCAGAGCTCCCTGTCGGAGCGGCAGAGCGTGATGTGCACTGAAAAGTTTTTCTGTCGCAATATTATCGTTGAGCTAGCTAGCTAGCATACATTGTCACTATCGGCTAACGTTAGATTTAGCCTTCGTTTTCTAATAGTTTTTTTCATAGGCTATAAACAGAGGTGGTATAAGTATAGATCTTGTACTTGAGTAAAAGTAGAAGTACTCAGATCTTGTACGTGAGTAAAAGTAGAAGTACTCAGATCTTGTACTTGAGTAAATGTAGAAGTACTCAGGTCTTGTACTAGAAGTACCAGAGTGTAGGAATACTCTGTTACAGTAAAAGTCCTGCATTCAAAATGTTCCTTAAGTAAAAGTAGAAAAGTATTGGCATCAAAATATAGTGAAAGTAGCGACAGTAAAAGTAGTCGTTGTGCAGATTGGTCCATTTCAGAATAATATATATGATATGTTTTATAATGATTGATCATGAAAGTGTTCTCAAAGCTGGTAAGGTGCAGCTAGTTTGAATGACTTTGTATACTGCAGGGCAGCTTGTGGATTTACTCCAGGTGGAACTAAAGTCTGATTTAACACTTGATTATATTTTTCATCATTCATTCAGATCTGTGAAGAAACTAAAGGGATTAAATACATGTAGTGGAGCAAAAGTATACCATTTACCTCTGTACTGTAGAGGAGAAGAAGAACAAAGTAGCAAAACATTAAAATACTTAAATTAAGTACACGTATCTCAAAATTGTACCCAAGTTTAGTACTTGAGTTTATGAACTTAGTTACTTTACACCAGTGGCTATACAGATAGAAAGACTAAGCCTTGCACAGAGGCATGAAAATACATTTTCAAAATGCTCAACAGTGCTGCCAAAATTATAAACAGACTGCTCCACAATTAAAATAAATGCTTTTATATATTTCTATTAGATGTGACTCTTTGGCGTTTCTGTTATTATTAACACTGCTGCTTTAGTTGTTCTGACTGCTAAAATCCTCTGTTATTCCTAATGTTAAAGCCGATATTCCGTGGGGCTCGGATCCTTGTCACCTTTTTCATACCTGATGAGTTTGCATCCCTGTGTTATATTCAGTCATCGTTCTTATGTTGAACATGAATACATTTACTTTGTTTGTAATTATGGGACGTATTTCTTCTTTCATAGCAATTTTCCTTCATACTTTCTTGCCGTGAAATAGGCCTTAAATGCTCTTCAAAGTGGTCTTAAAAAGTCTTAAATTTGAGTTGGTGAAACCTGCAGGAACCCTGCATACACCTCTAACAAACATTTAAATCGTGGCACTAGCCCACTTTTTACTATACTTAGAGAAAAGCAATGGCTTTGAAGATTATTTCAGGAAAGCAGAACAAACACCTTTTCACAATCCCCAATCTGAGGCAAGAGGAGGAAGCATTCTACATCCTAGGGAAATAAATATCTCGTCCATTAAGCCAACATATCATACTCAGAAACTGTGGCAATGAATAGTATGCAATATCATACATAGCCTAACTAATTATTTTTGTTCACAGGCTCATGGAACCATACCTGTATGGCTGCCGATTGGAACAAGATATTATTGATCTGGACCAGACCATGGAGCACCTTCAGCTGGCCCTGAACTTCACTGCACATGTAGCGTATCGGGGGGGCGTCATACTGTTTGTCAGCCGCCAGCGTCAGTTCAGCCAGCTGGTGGAGAGCACTGCTAAGGGATGTGGGGAGTACGCTCACACCCGTTACTGGCAGGGCGGCCTCCTCACCAACGCCCCGATCCAGTACGGCCCTGGGGTCCGCCTGCCAGACCTCATCGTCTTCCTCTCCACTCTCAACAATGTGTTTCAGCAGCACGTGGCAATCAGAGATGCAGCAAAGATGAACATTCCTACAATTGGAGTGATTGACTCAAACTGCAACCCCAGCCTGTTGACGTACCCCGTGCCCGGCAATGATGACACACCTATTGCCATGGAGTTGTACTGTCACTTATTCAAGATGGTTATCAATCGTGCTAAGGACAAAAGGAAACGCATGGAGCTACTGCCGTCCGCTGCTCCTCTTAATGCCTCTGAATTATTGGGAAAAAAATCTAACTAGTGTTTTGGGGGAAAAGCAAGAATGCTGTCTTATGTTAAGGGTTGCAACTCAAAATTCAAATTATTTTAATAATCGATTAATCTGCCACTTCTGGACTATAAATTGTAAGAACATTTTTAAAAATGCCCATTCCAGTTTCTCAAGATGTCATGTTTTGTCAGTCAATAACCCAAAAGTATTCCGTTTAATTTAATATAACAGAATAACGGACAACATTTGAAAGGCTGGAAAAAGCATTTTTGCCATTTTTGTAAATTACCTAAGAAATTAATCGATTATCAGAATATTTCTCTGTAGATTCACTAAGCGTTGCAACTCCACTAATGTTAAGACTGAAGTTGTGTGTATGTTATTATTATTATTAAAGGAATCTTTTTGTTACGTATGGTCTTCTGGTTTTAATTTAATAACCTACTGTATTTTTGTAGACCTTCACTGTTTTGCATCTCTGACTAAACAATGAATTTTGTCTACTGCCATAATCTAAATTCTTGTGTTGCTGTTGTGAAAGTGTCAAATTACTTTAGAAACTCCTGTTATAGTTTCCCAGGTACCAGAAAGATTCTGTTCAAATTGCTTGATTTATCTACCCATTGCTGTAAAATGCTTAATAAAAGGATATAAAGGGAAATCAGCTTTTTTGCATGAAAAATGACCCACCGTCCTAGCCAAATCCCAACATCACATAAAAACAAAGTTATATGAAAGGCAGGTTAATGCTGTCAAAAACAAATAAAAAAACTAAACACAATCCTTTCCCTTTTCAGTACAAACATGGCACCCTCACTTTATAGTCTAGCTAGCAGGAAGGGCCCTCAGATTTTGAGATACCCCTACCCGAGGTAGAACAAATTACAACAATGATTTTTCTTATCTTTAGGGTCTCCCATTAATGAAATTGATTGTTGTCAAATTTTATTTTGGGGGAAAAAATGTTTTTTTGGTTGTTCTTTAGAACTACCCCAATCCCTGAAAAAGAGCCAAATTAGACCAGGCTGAATATGGGAAAGGTGACAAGAAAGCCCATCATTTGAGAATGACAACTCTTTTCCTCTTCAGATTTGCTGAGGTATGAACCAGGTGGCTGTCCTACATCACCAAATAGTCAGACAATTATTTAACAAAAAAAAATACTGAATTATAGTCCTGTAAACTTAGCTTTAGTTTAGACGGAAATTGTACTTTTGTTGATAGGAAAATAGGACTCCATCACTTTTCTCTCATTTATCAGAAAAACAGAAATCCCTAAAAAATATACCATTACTGAATTGTCTAGGGTGCTATTGAACACTAACCAGTAGTATGGAAATATCTGGTACAGTTCTATTGCAAATGAGATTTCATTAGACATCGGCCTACCTCTTCTCTGATACAGTCACATTCAGAATGGGGGATAAGTGGCATAATAGCCTATAAGTTAAGAATGCTCACTCTGATGGTCATTATATTTGGAGAGGGAAATACTAGGTGGCTGAACGATAGTTACAGCTGTAACTACGGTTCTATGAGTCCCGGATGACCGCTAGAGGCGGTGCTTTAAGCACTGGATATGTCCATCGCGCGCATGCGCAGCTCGAGTACCAATAACAACAAAGTCACCTGTGACCCACGTGACACCGGCTATATCAGCCGGTGTCGTCAGAGGATCTGTTCCCAGAATCTTCTCGCGAGCACACAAGAATTCTGAGTGACAGGGAACTCTGGCGGTCATCCGGGACTCATAGAACCGTAGTTATAGCCGTAACTATCGTTCTATTTCGTCCCTACTGACTGTAAAGGAATATTTTGGTCTTGTTAAAGTATATAGAGTTTAGTGATTTGTCCTCGGGAATCTGTTTAATATGGTTGAAGTTTATTCCTGCCTGTAATGTGATCCATAGCTTCTCAGGAAGACACAGGTCAAGAGGTCATCTGATGTCTTGTGGGGGAGAAGCTTGGTTCATGTGGGGTTACAATGCAACGAGTCTTTGTCTCGACATCTGGCATGCATTAAAGGAAAACCCGCGTGTTTTAGGGCCCTCCTCTTCTTGTCTGTATAGTTGGGTTCTTGGCGTTTTTAGGCTTCAGAGTTTGCTGGGATCTTACATGAGAACTGTGATATGCTGTGAACTCTCCGGCCGTTCAGGCTCTCAATAAATATCAGTGTATTGACAGGCGAATCCAGTTTCACTCATTTCATGATTGGCTCAACATTGCTGCAAAGAAGTTTTAACTTCACACTGACCGCCAGAGGCGGTGCTTTAAGCACTGGATGACTTATACCAACAATGTCATGAAGAATCCAAGCCCTTGCTCACCACTGGAAACAGCGGAGCTCGGCAAAAGGACCACGCCCAAAGAATGGGGAGTGGCGACATTGACCTGATGACAACTGGAGAATGTGCCAGAAGACGCCCACGACGCCGCGGCACAGATGGTCTCCAGGGGCACCACCCTCAGGGCAGCTCAAGATGTTGAGATGCTCCTTGTAGAGTGGCATCTCAGCCTGATGGCAGGGGGCGGCCACTGGCCCCGTAAGCCTGTGAGATGGTATCGACAACCCAGTGGGGCAGCCACTGGTTAGAGGGCATAACCTCCTTTAGTGCCGCCAGGGCAAAATCAAGAGTTGCTCCTACTGCCGTATACAGGCAGTAGCCTTGATATACGCCAAAGTTGGGCACCCCCAGGGCAGAGCAACTTCGACGTGCCGTACTCCTGAATGTCAAAGCGTGCCAGCTGGGCAGGCTGATTGAAGTGGGTTTGTGGAAGGACCCCGGGCAGGAATGCCACATTTGCCCAAAGGGCAACGCCTGAGAGTCCCACCTCGGGCATGTATTGTTTATGGAGAGGACATGCAACTCCCCGACTAGCTTCCCTGAGGCTATGGCAAGCAGAAATGCTGCCTTCGTGGGCAGCCACCTAAGCCCCACCTGGGCCAGGGATTCGAAGGGAGGAGATGATCGGGCATCCGGCAGCAGGGGCAGGTCCCAAGCCGGAGCCCTCGGGGTGCTAGGGGGACGCTGCCGTAAAGCCCCTCTCATAAAGAGGGACACCGACCTGTGGCACCCCGCCGTGGCGCCGTCGACCCGAACATGTCGGGCAGAAATCGCAGCCACATAAATTCAGAGTGGAGTGAGAATGTCCACTATCTAGAAGGGACTGTTGTCTAAGCAACAACGCACATGCTGTCCTCAAGGAACACGCACATTATTGCCCCCCAGTTGGGGTAGAAAGTGCGTGAGTGCAAGCTGCACAGCCCGAAGCTCTAGCACGTTGACCTGGTGCGCACTCTCCTGGGCAGACCGCTGACCCTGAACGGTCCTGCCCTGCCGCACTGCACCCCACCCTGAGAGACATGCACCTATGGTGATGGTCTCCTGGCGGGATGGGATGGCGCCCATGGGCACACCCACTAGGAGATAGGCCCTGCCCCTCCAGTGTGACAGAGAGTGGAGGCAATGCTGCGACACCCTGACTTCCCTGTGCCTGTGCCACTTGGCGTCCAAGTGAAGGCTGTTCAGCCACATCTGCATGGGGCACAACGACAGCGGGCCTAAGGGCCCAGCGGCCAAGGCAGCTGCCAGTCTGCCCAAGGGCGGGAGGAACTGAATATAAGGCACCATCTTGCCCGGCCCACGTGGAAGTAGACATCCCTCAAGTCCACGGTTGAGAACCACTACACCTGTGCATATGCAGTGGTCAGCATATAGAATGGCAGCACCATCGGGAATCTGTTGATTCCTCTGAGGTCCAAGATCGGGCGAAATCCGCCGACTTTCTTGCTCACGAGAAAGTACGCCGAGTAGAACCCCCTGGGCTAAGCAGAGGGTCTTACTGGCTTGATTGCGTCCTTGGACAGAAGGACGGCCAACTCTTGGGCCAGAGCTAGGGCCCCTGCCGGATCGCTGACGACTGTCAATTAGACCCAGCCGAAGGCTAGGGGCCGGAGCTGCGGTCCGTACCCCTCGGTTAAGGTGAAAACCACCCAAGGGACAGAAGTACAGACCGCCCAGTAACTGAGCTGCTGCTGGGAAAGCAGCCGATGACCGCCCCCGGGATTTCAGGGCCCAGCCCCCCGGCCCCTGGAGCCTCTTGGGGGGCGCCGGTAAGGCTCGGGGGCACGAGGCCGCCTGGAAGGCGGGCGACCTGGGGCACGAAAGTCATTGGGTCGCGCCGCTAAAACCTCTGCAGACCACCCCTGTAATCTGGCGGCTGAGTGCGGCTGCTAGAGCGGCCCCTGGGCCTGCTGGGAGTGGGCACAGGTCTGCGAAGACCCGAGAGTTGCTGCCTGGTCTGCCTAGCTTGGGCGGCACACTACAGTGCCTCCAGGGCAGCTGACCTAAACAGCTCCCCTGGCTCGACTGGTACGCTACGGAGGACTATCCTACATGCCTCCGTTAGTGGTGACAGCTACAGCTCATGCAGGCGTTTACCGTGAGAACCTCCCTCAGATGCTCACATTTCGTCCCCACTGACCGCCAGAGGCAGGAGGGGCAGCGGTCGTGGCCGTCCTCGGGCTCAAAAGAAGCCATACAGGCGCTACATGAATGAGCCATTCTGTAGGTAGCCAGATGCAGCGTAGCCGGGAGCGGGTGCGGGAACAAAGCCTTCACCAGCTACCTGCTTAATGGAAAGAGTAGAGTGTTGCTGCTACTCGCCGAACAGAAAGAGGGATGTAATTACACCCACGTTACCGGCAGAGGGAGCGGGAGCGAGAGCACTGCCTTCACCTGGCTGGATTAATAAACACGGCAGTTCAGCGTCTACCAGGAGCGGGGGCGAGAACACTGCCGGCTGAGTTAGAGACGAATGCCAGATGCAGCATAACCGGGAGCGGGTGCGGGAACACAACCTTCACCAGCTACCTGCTTAACTGAAAAACAGGGCAGTTCCGCATCTACCAGGAGCGCGGGCGAGAACACTACCTTCACTGGTTGAGTTAGAGACGAATGCCAGATGCAGCGTAACCGGGAGCGGGTGCGGGAACACAGCCTTCACCAGCTACCTGCTTAACAGAAAAACAAGGCAGTTCAGCGTCTACCAGGAGCGGGGGTGAAAACACTGCCTTCACTGGTTGAGTTAGAGACGAATGCCAGATGCAGCGTAACCGGGAGCGGGTGCGGGAACACAGCCTTCACCGGCTACCTGCTTAACGGAAAAACGAGGCAGTTTGGTGTCTACCAGGAGCGGGGGCGAGAACTGCCTTCACTGGTTGAGTTAGAGACGAATGCCAGATGCAGCGTAACCGGGAGCGGGTGCGGGAACACAGCCTTCACCAGCTACCTGCTGAACGGGAAGAGTAGAGTGGTGCTACTACTTACCGAACAGAAAAAGGGATGTAGCTACATCCGCATTACCGGTAGAGGGAGCGGGAGCGAGAGCACTGCCTTCACCTAGCTGGGTAAAATAAAGAAGCTTAACAGTACACACAAGACGTTAGCCGAGCAGCTGCTGCTAACGATCAAGCGAGATCAAGTCAAATAACACACATGTTTAAGACCAGATAACTAGCTTCTAAAGAAGAGAACAGCACAGAGCCGTAGTTACAGCAGTAACCATGGCCAGTGCTCACACGGCATATAACCGTAGTTACAGTAGTAACTATGGCCAGTACTTACACGGCTTAGAACCGTAGTTACAGTCGTAACTATG